CCTCGTCCATTAGATGTTTTCCAAATTCTGAGCTGATATGATACTCTTCTTCTTGGCATTATGCTGATGGATGTGGAATTTCATTTTGCAAGGAATGGCTATATCAATCTGAAAGATTAGTTTTGTGTAGAAATGAAATGAAAGTAAATTGTACTAAATTGTACTGCATACTTCTGTGGTGTTTATGTGGTTGACTAGTCTGTGTTGCATATCTATGCCAAGGCCAACTCCATGGACAAACTGTTTGATTACCATACTTCACTGGACTGGAGTTGTAGGCCCCAATTGCTCTCCATAGCTATGATATTTAGTCCAGCTCCAGACAAGCTATAGGCTACTTGGTTGATTTACAAAACTTTGAGAAGACGTTTTCCGAGTTATCTTATTTAAAATGCTGTCTTTGGTCATCATTCATAATCTACAGTTTTCTGGGATAATTCATTGGACTATCCATCTTGCTGCACCCATTACATTCTATCACCTCAGGAATCTTGTATTCTTTAACTTTCTAATAAATATCTAGTAGTCACTCTGTTCGATCCCTTCCATCATTTTTACAAGCACATGTTTGAGCCATTCGCTTCAAGTCACTGTTTCATTCAGATAAAAGGAAATCAGAGCCTTCCGCTATGCTGTTAGTTACCCTTCTTTTTGGCCCATAGAAATAGGTTAACATGTCCAGATCTGTGTACTGGATTGGGCCCCGATTTGGGGCCATATTACAAGTTTAAATTGAACTTATTCGGTGGTCAAGTCTAGATCATCTACTTTGGGGAGTTTATAGAACTTGCATGGGTTTTATCTGGAGTTCATACGTACGGATGGCCCACATTTTTGCAATCATAGCAATGCATGGAAGAGGACATAGAGGCCCTGATGTAAGTATTACTTTAAACAGAAGAAACAAATATAGGTTGATGCTTACGTTACATGTAAGTAGTAATATGATCATCTGGTTTTCCGTGTTCACCTCGTCTGGCAACTGAGTCTGAAAACCAGTTTGCCCAGCTGTGAGACGATGTTAAAGGCTCTAAAGCCACTGTTACAGCAGGGTGCTTATTGGTTAGCATAATAGCATGTACACAATACTTTTGCCTTCACATGTCCCTAATTGAATTAATTAATTTATTAAAGTTGATTGATTCTGTCTGTTGTCCAGAAACAAATATTTGCCCCAATATGAAATTCCAAAAAATAGAAGCCTATTATGGATAGAAAATTAGATCTATCAATTACATATTTAATGATATGATGTGCTTGAAGACATACCATATGAATATACTAAATTGATTTTTATCTCAGGAGATTATTGGTCATGTGAAAACCGATTGCTTGGGCATGCAGGTTTATCTACCAACTAGTTTGCGTAATTTGTCATTCTATTAGAATGGCCCTGTAATGATACTCATCATTTTGTCTGTCTAAACATATTTGGAAAGGAGAGGGTGGAGGGTGTATTGAATTAGGGATTTAATAAATAACTGAATCTGAGCCTCAGTAGTAAAATATTATATATTGAAATTTAGACAAAGAAGAAAAAAATAAATAAATTCACTTATTGATAGGCGGGTTTTGTTAATGATATGGACTCGTTTGGTGCCTAGGATTGAATTGGATAACTCACTAAATTTGGAGTATGTTGAAGGAGGAAATGAATGTAGATGTGAATGATTGTTCATTTTGGGGGATTAGGAGGGATAAGTTAGAAGGTGTTGATATCCTATCATTTTGTGGGGATTAGAAGAGATTAGTTTTCTTCATGAGTAATCCATCCTCTACCTTCAAGTTAGACGAAGTTACTTCATTTCTTCTTTCAATATGCCTAACATTTAGCAAGTTACCCAATCCTAAGCACGGAACGAGCCATTGTTTTCTTCCTGAATTTGGTAGAACACGTCCTTGAATGGTTTAAATGATCATTCATTACCCAGCTTAGGTCTGTCAATGCTTTTGTAGAGATGTTGATGATGACCTAAATAATGCAATGACATCCTTCTAAAGAAACTAGGATGGTAAGTTGAATTTCAAAAGGAAGTAAAACTGGTCAAACCTAAGAGTCAAAGAAATGTTCCAACTTACAGTAGAAAATAACCTAAAGAAAAGACTAATGGATCAGAGATGAATTTTTTATTTTTATTTTTTGGGTCGAAGGGAGATGAATGTTTAGACAGCTATAAGTTGGTTTTTCAAAAGCATGTCGTCCGTCCTTCACAGTTATTTATTATATCCTTGTAGTTAACTTCTATCTTTTATCCTCACAGAATGACCGCATGTCCTAATTGCTTAGTTTTATATAATAAAAGAAGACTTGAGATCGATTTGGTGAAGGGATACGTCAGAATTTAATTGGTCCATTATATTATCACAGCTCAGTAAAGCCTGAAAGCTCGGTAGTATGACTATGAACCAGAGGTGCCAATCAAATTTTGCCGACTAAAAGGGAGGAGGGAGGGCGTCTGTACCAAAAGGTGAATGACTTGTTGTTCGTCTTGAATTAAAGTTTATTTTAGTGACATAGTGAAAGGAAAGAAGGGGAGCTAGCTGTACTTAAAAGCAAAGATTCTGGTGGGTAAACCACAAAGGAAGAAGAGTTTGTTGTTCATTAGATAAGTGATTGGCATAATCAGGGAAAACCAAGTGCCATGGATGAAGAGATTCTGTGGTGCAATCATTGGTTCTGTTCTTCAATCTTCCCATAGAACCCCCAAAAAAAAAAAAAAAAAAAAAATCATTATGCCAAACCTAGTTTAATCACATAGTAGGGCAGGTCTAGGTGTCCAATAAAGAGATCATAGGTTTGCTTTTATTTTGCTTAGCATTTGAAGTCACCAATCTGGATTGAATTGAAGGTGACTTGTTTTGTTTTCTGCAGTATTTGCTACGGAAATCTGAGATAGATAGATATTTAGTGATAAGATTTTTATGATTTTTGGTCAGGATTTATTCAGAATTATTGATTGAACCCATATTACTCTTCACCCTTCATCCTTCAACATTCATATGAATCTCTTTAATTTCTCTGGTTATTTTCAATGCCCTCCCACTTTTGGGTGCTTGGTTGTTTGATTGTGTCTGTGACAGGGGAGGCAATGTCCCTGGTGCATCATAATGCCTTGTGGTGTCTTTAGTCTTTCAAAATATTATTTTAAGGTTTCTCAATACAATGCCTTTGAAAGGTGTTTTGGATATACACATGCCACCATGATTTTGGTGAGAATGAGGATTAGGTTCATGATTATCAAAACTTTAAGCATAAACTAAGTCCAAATCACAAGTGATATGCGCACCTGGACCTTCTTTTATCTCATGGTCAGGTTGTCAGCAGCACTATTGGTCGTTTTAAAATACCGTTTCTTTATCATTGATTTGGACCGAATAATTGTTCATAGATTTCCCCCTATTGGAAGATGTTCCCAAGTGGCTCCTCCTTCCTCCCAGTTTTGCCCAATGAAACTTCGGACGGGATCATAAAATAGGAAATTTTACCCTCTCTTTTTTTCTTCAATACTGTTTATGGTTAAAACGACGTGATCGTAAAATTAAGACTAAACCATTAAAAATTACAAGTTACAATAAGAAAAAAAAAAAGTTAAGTAGAGTGGAGAGAATGTAGTCTGTATTAGAAACAAATGACCGAAATCAAACAAGAAAGCATGACTTCCCTCTATGTGTCTTTTGCAAAATAGGGTGATCTAGTTGTTAGGGAGAAAAGGAAGGTTTTTTTCCTTCTCTTTGAAGGAAAATAGCTTATGCCTAAAGCAACCTCTCTTGATAATTATGTTTTGCAAATTGCGATTATAGCAGAATAAATATCTCTGTCTTTTTATTATTATTATTATTATTTTGTTCTTTTTTAACACATTGAGGAGGGAGGAGGGGGAGGAGAGGTAGGAGAGGTAGGAGGGAGCAGAGGAGAGAGGGACCCGTCGTTGGCAGGAAATGTGGAGGTGGAGCATAACTGTCCACACCTCAGAGAAGAGGAAAACTCCAAAACCCCAACAAATAGAAAACAGAGCCTGGGATAGAAAAGTGCCAGAGAAACCAACCCACATCGCACATGCATTTTCTTTTCTTTATCATTTCTTTTCTGGATCATCACCCCGCAATAATCATTGCACGGAATGAAAACAAATATTATGCGGGGCCCGCCATCTGGTCAATTAGTGGAAGCCAACACCACACCCTCCTCCATCCAATCACGTTGCAACTGTTCTTCGCCTCCCCAGTCCCTAGTAATCTTTTCATGTCATGTGGAGATTGTTGTTCTTATTCTTCTAATTTTGCCCCCTCTTCAAATGCTAAATTGTGCTATTGGGATGGCTTTCCTTTTCATGGGCAGGTGTTGCGTCTCTAAACTGATTGGCTTTGTTGTCCATTCTCTTATTTTCTTTTCATTTCGGTGAATTATTTTCACCAAAGTTTCTTAGGATTTTGATATTTATGCGTCGACAAGCTTCATCACTAATTAGAAAAATATAATCCATTGAGTATAGTTCTATAACATATATTCTTCTGGTTTAGATGTTACATTTCGCTAAAAAGCTTGATTGTAAAAGGACAATACAAAACTTTGTTTGTCACAGCATAACAAATGGAGGACATGTGATATGTCATGCAACTTTGAGGACATTTTTTTGTCATGTTTATGGCCTAATAGCTTTAAAAGAACATAAAATGGACATAAACAAAGAAACTGCAAAGGTTGAAGACAATGCATAACTGATCAAATTTGTTGGTTTATGATGATTTCTCTTTTGTCCCAAAAAAAAACATGATATCTCTATTTTGATATCGATATAAAATGTTATATCTCCCTCAAAATGTTGAAATAAGTTTAAAGTTTAAATTTCCGATGTTTCCATACAAGTTAATGAATTAAGATATGAAAATAATCATAAAACGTTTCAATGTACAATATTGTCCGCAGACGTTTATAAAGGTGAAACCATTGTATTACGGGGTATTAGATTATAAAAATACTCAATGATTTAAATTTAAATTTAGGGGATTTATAAGAACATTTAATCCTTATCAGAAAAAGAAAGAGAACATTAAATTAAAAAATGACATTTCCCAACAATAAATAGTAGGGGTGTTTAAGGAAATGACGCGTGCTGTCTTTTGATTCCTTTATAAGTATCTTCCCACCGTTCCTCCTCTTCTTAATAGTGTCCTTCCTCTTCCTCAACTCCACACCTCAACCACCTCCGTTCCGTTTATCCTTTCTCTCTCTCTCTCTCTCTCTCTCTCTCTCTAAACATTCCAATTCCATTTCTCTGTTTGCTTAACCTTTCCAAACAGCAAAATCGAAAACCCCCTCCAGAATCCATTGATTCACAAACCCCATCACCAAACATTCCAATTCCATTTATGTGTTTGATTCGGAATCCTCGCTAATTAAAGAGAGTGAATCTCTGCACCTCTGCGTCTTCTCTCCATGGCGTCCACTCTGATTTCCATTCCTATTACAAACTCCGATCGAGCTCGAGACTCTTCTAGAAGGAAAAAGAAGAAGAAAATCCAAGCCAAACAAGACCACCACCAGCAGCAAGAAGCCCAGAGCCACACCAAATGGAAATCCGAGGCCCAGCAGCAGCTCTACTCTTCCAAGCTCCTTCAAGCGCTCAGTCAAGTCTCCATTAACCCACCCAACACCGCCAACACCAACACCGACACCAACACCAACGCCAACCCCTCCTCTTCTTCTCCTCCGCGCCGCGGCCGAGCCGTGCGCGAAGCCGCTGACAGAGTTCTCGCCGTCGCAGCCAAGGGCAGGACCCGCTGGAGCCGCGCCATTCTCACCAGCCGCCTAAAAATCAAGTTCCGGCAGCATAAACGACAGAGATCCGCCGCTGCCGCGTCGGGTACCGGTTCGACCCGACCCAGGAAGCCCAAGTTCAGCGTTTACCGGCTGAAAGGCAAGGGATTGCCAGCTGTGCAGAAGAAAGTCCGGGTTCTGGGCCGGTTGGTTCCCGGTTGCCGAAAGCAACCGTTGCCGGTCATTCTAGAAGAAGCCACTGATTACATCGCAGCTCTGGAGATGCAGGTCCGGGCCATGAGCCGGCTCGCCCAGCTGCTCTCCGGTTCAACTTCTGGCGCCGCCGGCTCCACTTGATTAGACGCCCCTGGCAAGTTGCCATGTGTCTGTCTGTCAATCGTTTCTTCTTCTTTTTTTCTTTTTTTCCCTTCCTTTTTTCTTTCTTTTTCGCTCCATGTGCAAGTAATTGTCATTTCTCCTGTTAAATACATGTCTAGTAGCTCTTTTTCTTTTTCAAGTAATTCTATTTCTATCTCACACACTACTTTGGGAAAAGAAAAAAAAATGAAGAACCCTAATAGAATAACTGAATTATGATTGGATAATTACAGTTAGGTACTTCTTCTTTTTGGGTTTATGGTTTGGCGGATCTGGTTGAATTCTTTGGACCTTCAGCTACCGAGTGAATACTACAATTTTCAATTGAAAAGAATATTCTGAATTCATGAGAGGATAATCTTATCATTACAAATTGTACCTTGATTTTTGGGTTTAGAATAACTTGTTTGTACTGGTTGTTTTGTTTCCATATGTTGAAGGCCGAAAAACCGACCGAAGGAATTAGAAAAATACAACTGTTACTGGGATAATTATATTTTCATAACTATTTTTATTTTATTTAAAGGAGGGGAGGAAGGGAATCAAACTATTGCTATGACTAGGTAAGTATTAACATGCCTAATAACTTGTGTTCATATAAGTTCTTATGCTAGAAGCAATGCTCTTATTCATAAGCAGTTTTGTTAAAAGGGAGCTATCATTGCCAAGGGACTTATAGTTGACGTGGTTAATTGTATATACCCACACACTCGAAATCCTAGATTTGCTTTCCTTTTCTTTAATATTGTTTGTGTAAAAAATAGAAAGAATAAAAAGATAGCCGTTGAAATTTTATTAGTGAAGGCTGAAGCTATAAGTGTGTCCACAGTGATTGGATTGGTATTAGATGGGGATGAGATGAGATGAGATGACTGGTCATTTGGAAGTTTTGGGGACACACATTCTAAAACACTTGGAATGACAAGAGCTTTTTGAATGTGGGTGTGGGGGCAATACGAACAACAATGTTACAAAAATGTATGATGAAGAATATAGTGGTGGAAACTGTGAGTGTGAGAGGGGGGGATTTTGGTCATGCATTACATTTAGATATATATCTGAAACAGCAAAATGCTTAGCACTGTAGCATACTGTAGGACTGTGGAGGGTGTGAAAAGAAGAGTGAGGAAAGTTGCCGAAAGCGCCAATACATTAATGTGAGAGAAGAGAAGAGAAAGGGGGTACAAACTACAAATATCATGTGGCTTTGTCGTCCCCACATCCAGTATACCTGTGCCCCCTTTTGTGCTCTCTCACCTGCCTTCCCCTGTTCCTGTTTCTACTTCCACAGGGTTTTTTTTTGGTTATTACGGTTTTGCTCACATCAAAGTTGAAGGCTTGATTTGTAAGCGAGTGATCTCGAATCCTCGTGATATCTTGAAAATTTGTGTGTGTGAGAAATCTCTCCTTCAATATCATAGAAAGTTTCCACACACTCAATTACTGATTAGTGTCACTCTCAAGGCTTGCCACTTGTCCTTGTCTCCATCCTCCCTCCCCATTTGAAATAATACGTGTGAGCCTTCCTTCTCCACACACAGACACAGAGAGACCCAAATTCAAGACATACACACGAGTGCCTGGGTTTCATCGCTATCAGTGGGATTGGGTTTTGGAGGGAGAAGAGAAAAGCAGAAGAGAAAGAAACTTTGATGGGATGGGATTGGTTGGGGCTAAAGTCCTTGGATATCGTTTTAAAAATAATAACAAAGGACCACAACAATAACAATTTGCTGAATAGTCATAGAGATGGTGTTTTGAAAATGAAGCGTGTGACGGTGTTTTTTTTGTTAGGAGGAGCAGAGAGAGAGAGAGAGAGAGAGCAGAGCAGAAGATGCACATGGTGGCATTCATTTCAATTGACATACCAACACCAGGCTACACATGCAACCCATGTGCCTTCTTTAATCCTCCTCCTTCTACTCTCTCCTAATTAAGCAAAACTTCCATAAAATGGGGATATCATATGATATTCCGGTCAATAACGCTATAATGCACGTTATAACATTTTTACATAGTATAATATTATTGACCGGGATAGCAAAACAGTGCTATATCCGCCGCAACTAAGTTTTTCTCCTCCTAATTCCTTTCTCTCTATCTCTTTGTCTTCTTTCTGTATATCCCTCACTCATTTAGTCCAATTTTTACACCACAAATTTTCCACAACCAAATGCTTAGTTTTCTAGGGTCAGGTATTTTTTGTACGGGACATGCAACTGTCAAGAGTAGAAAACCCTTTTTCTTTGTGTGGCGTTTTGCAATTTTCAATAACCTAGCTAGCTATAAGCCTATAAATATCCATAGCCCCATTACTCTCCAATTAATAAATAATAATGACGTATTTCTGACTTCAAATATCTTGATGGATGGATCAACCTAATTAACCTTAAAACATGGTGCTTATTGAGTGCTAAGCAAACATTGACATTGTGTAATCAATCCGACATTCAACAGCAAACTGCCTTTGCTACAAAGTTTAGAGGTTTTTTCCCACCACCCACCAGACCGCATGCATCAATCTACTCATATGCATTTGACAACATCAACATATCTTGGGTTTCATATTGATTTAAAATTATCACTAATATCATATCTCGTCTTATCACATCTTACTCACACGATTATCGTAGGCGAAATTAGATTTCACATGCGTCAATTGTCATAAACCATCTATACATGTATGAACAACAACCGACCGTAAAACAACTCGTTACATTGTACATTTACAACTCTAAACCACAGCCGTTCATGCCTAAACTAACCATCGACATGTAGATCTCATTCAATTCAATCATCTTCTATGATGACAAAACAAAAGATGAGTAGCTTGTAGATGGTGCATATTAATTAATCCCGGCCCACTCAAAAATAATGATACAGAAAATACATGTTTAACTTAGCCCAAACTCCATGAAAAATCTAATCATAAATTTATTGATGCGGGCTCCACAAAGCATCGTATCATTAGTCGCAAGCATGTGATCCTGCGGTCTATATATATATATTGTACTTGGGCCAAGCATGCATGTTCGTGCTTTATCAACAATAACCACATTTAACAACATTAAAGCAATTTGCTTTTCAACGATAATTGCAGATTAATTTGATTGAGTTGAGCCAGCTATCCTAGTAACTATACTAGCTAGTTAGGTGAAAAAATAAAAATCTTTGTTCCTTCCAGCTAGGAAACAGGAGCAAATTACATTATTAATTCTCCACCGTTTTTATTTAATTATATCTTCATTTTGCTCACTTTGTCTAAATGAAATCAAGTTTTAAAAAATAATTACTATATATATATATTATATACGTGATATATCGGTAGTGAAAAATAATTTTTTTTTCTTTCTCTTTCACACGTCTCAGTTCAAATACATAATTTCAAAGGATGAGATAGGATAGTTATTAGATTTCTACACTTCTTGATATAAATATCATAAAGATATATGTTATCGGGAGTTGTTCTTATGTAATTGTCAATGATGAATACGTGTTTTCATCAACATAAACGGTTGAGAATTGCGCACTGCTTGCAAACGAATAGTAAGCCCTCAATTTGTCTACAATTTAAATTAGAGAAAGAAGAGAGAATAATTCTAATTAATCTATGAAGGCTAATATATTATCAGCAAAATGAAGCAACAGAGAGATATATAGTGGCACACATGACATGAGGGAAAATGATTAGTCGCATGTGTCCTGACTCATGGCATACTCCAACAGAATATACAGATGGGTATTTGCATATATCACCTTTAATTTTCTTGGCCACGACATGTAATGTAATGTAAGCAAGCAAGCAACCCTCTCTCCATCCAACCCTTTATATAATTTATCAAACCCTTTATATAATTTATCAACTTTTTTCATATGGGTCTGCTGCGCCATGTGAGTACAACAAAAGCCAGGAAAAGAAAAGGACATGCATTTGAAAATCGCATTCTCTTATACTAAAAAGTTTTTAGACCACATGGAGGGGTCATGGCTTTGTCCATTAAACTCCAAGAACAAATAAAGTAAAAGAGAAAAAGGAAAAAGGTCGTGTAGATTGATGGCAAACCCATATGGTCAGCACTAGCTATCTATTCACAGAGAGAGAGAGAGAGAGGGATGTTGTTGATTCATATATATTTATATATATATATATATATAATTCAACTGGCTTGTCGTAGCGTAGCACATCAGGTTCGTCGTCTTCCATGGTGACAAAATCTCTTACAATTGTCCATTGAAGGCAATATTAGGGTTTTTAGGTATGACAATTAAAACTATTGTATATGATGGTATTACCGCATGACATATTAATACGATGAATTTAATCATGTAGTTTTAGCATAACAAATTGAGCTCAATTAATTAGGGATCTTTTTTTCTTAGTGGAAGAGCCTATATTATATGGTGTATGACATGCACCAGGATTTATGGATAGGTATTCCTTTTCATATGATATTATTCGAGCTAGGGTTTATTGGGATCGCCACTTTGATACTAAAAATGTATAAAAAAGAAGAGAAGAATGTTCTTGGTGCCTAGCTAGACATGATTTATTAAAATGCATACATAGTAACTCCAATTATTAATATGGAGGGCAATTTCATAGCTTGTAGATTAGGCGTGGGCACATTAATATTTAGCATAAAGAAATAGGTCAAGTTGAGATGCTTGTTGTACTCTTCTTTTCCTTGATGCTGGGTTATAATAGGATTAGACAAGTCTTTTTTTTTTTTTCTTTTTTGTTTTGGGTGGGTGGGTGACAAGTTTTTTCAGAAGCTTTCAAAGTTTGATCCAGTGTTCTACTAGAACCCAAAAATTGATGGCTTATGATTTGATCGATGAACATCAAGACGCTTGTTTCACACACACACACACATATATATAGTTTCATTCTATTGAGGGATCTCTCAAATAATTTTATTTGAGGGACGCCTTTTAAGGCACCCTACAATTTTTTTCCCAATGATCCAAACCATCTATTTTTTAAGTTTTCATTCATAGATCATCTTTATAAAAAATTAGACAAATCGGAAACTGTTTCGACATCCAATTGTGTCTTATAAAATCAATGAACACAGTACTTCAAGAAAGTACTAAAATTTCAATAACTCAAATGAGTTGTCAAATGATATCGGATTCAAGTAATTTTTTGTAGAAATGATCTTTGAATGAGTATCTACAAAATAGACGGTTTGGATTAGTGAAATACAATCCGGAGTAGGGCCTATATCTTGTCATAATCAAGCTCATAAATGTGTCAAACTTTCAAGATTAATTAACTAGCTAATTATTACAATCTCAAACAAAAATTCCCAGCAGAGTAATTGATGACTTGAAGAAAAGGTAGGAAGGAGGGAAAGCGAGCTCTGATGAGGTATTTTCATCTAGCTAGCCAGCTCGCATGCAGCCATATCATATGTTGCAGATTCTTCTGACAGGGAAGTGTCATTGGCTGTAATTATTTTACGTCCTTGTTTTCCTTAATGGATGCAGGCACAGTTTAAAAATCTGCCAAATTGTTTATTACCCTTGAATACAAGAAACAAGGTAATTCAGATAAATGGGGACCAGGCTAAACCCTAGTAGCCCTCCCCACACACACACACACATAGATGACCAAAATATTTCAAACTTTGAAGTACAGGTAGTAGGTTCACATATGGATGTCACTTTGCAATTTAGGCTAGATGATACTACTGATTATGTCTGTTAGAAGAAGGCATACATTTTGTAAAAGAGGATGTAAAACACAGATGATTTCTTATTAGTGTTCAAACTTACATGTTGCACATGGTGTAATTATGGTCAAATGCAAATAATTGTGATAATGGTCTCATAATTGATGGGTTTTAGTTGTCATGCAATGCAAATACATAATTATAAACTCATCTTCTTGCATGGACCAAAGTGTTCAATCAAGAGACTCCTCCGCCCACAAGTGGATAGTATGTGATTAGCCAAGTTGATCAATTTTTAATGTAGCTGGCCTGGTCTTTTCCCCCATAATGAACTATAACGTTGTTTTTTGACCTTATGGGATACCTTCTCAAATATTTGAGAGGCCCAAGAAAGAAACAAGTGCAAATTTGCTTTATTCAATCTGAACAGAAATTTGGGTGTCGTTTGGACTCAACTATGATGCATAAACCAAGCCTATATATATAGCTTTCAACCATGGCCAAAAAGATGAAGATTCTCTTGCATTATCCAAGTGCCTCGGCCAGCCGCCGCTTTGACCCCCGTATGTATACATGTTGTAATGAGGTCTTCGTGTTCATCGAACGTACATCAAGCTTGGAGAGAAAATAATCAAGAAAGGAACAGCAGTGGGCCATTGACAAAGAGAAGAGGATGCTTTTTCCCAGTTTCAAGGATCACACCATGAATTGAACATAGATATTATCTGAAAGTTACATACAAAGACACAAGAAGGAACACGCAAAGAATTGTATTTGTCATGACCATATATATATATACCAAACCCCACCATACGGATCTAATCTAAGATTTTCATTCATACCCGATATTCGGTTGAATTTGAAAAGGATAGGAGCAATCAATCTTGTTCTAGTGGCAATAAGGATAAGGGTTGAATGCTTTGGACCCCAAAAAAAAAAGGGTTGAATGCCTGACGAATCATGAGAAACATCACAAAAACGTGAAGCAAATTAAATATAGGGGTATCATTTACTGACCAAATATGAGTAAGTACTGAAATTACCTGTAGGATGACTAAGAATGCCTAAAGGAGGTGAATCGGCCAATTTAAAATTATAATCAATAAATAAAAATAAATTTCGATAGCAGGATTGATATTGCTTATCAATCCTAAAACGTGTTGAGCATAAAATAAAGGAACACGTAGATAATTATTTTACGTAGTAAAACCCCACATATGAGGAAATCTATGGGACTCTTCAGTCCTATACAAATCCACTATAGAACGATGATTACAAGAAATACTCACACTTTCTAGACACATTCTAGATAATGTTTATCGACTTCTTCGTAACACAACTTCTGTCACGTGATGATTTTTGACACTCCTTATATTGAACGCAATACTGGTCACGATTGTTTCAAGCTCGCCAGAGAAAAACTGCCACCACGGTCGACAAATATTTTTTTCTTTGTTTTGATTGATTCACTTAGAATGCTATATTCTTTCTTTGCTATATTAGGAATGAATGAAACCGCTTTTTTTTTTTTCTCTCTTTTTTGGCGCCAAAGTTAAGAAGGGGAGATTGATTTTCTCACATATAGTGCCAATATGCCATGAGGGTTTGAATCCAAAATCACTAGTCTTCAAGTTAATACTATTTTTTATTGGGTTAGACCCGATCGCCGAAGAAACTCTTCATTTGCTTCCAATTCGATTTTCCACCATTTTCTTCTAATTGGACCAACCCAACGGCTTATGCACTATGGGCTTTTCAGATTGTAGAGAAACAGAAGTGTGCCAATATGTACAAAACTTGGAATGTTTTTCAGCATAAAGCCCAATATCCCTCAGCTTTGTGTTGGACCCTAAAAATGAATGGGCTCAAATTTATACTGAAAAGGTGAAAAGGTTACAGCCCAATAACTCATACCCTAGAGCAGAAATGACGTCATTTGAGTCTCCCTCCTCCTCTGCACTCTGAGCTCAGTTGAACTTGAAGCATCAACAACTACAAGTCGTTTCTCTGTGGAATTGGTCTGAGAAGGAGAAAGAGAGAGAGGATGGCTACGGCATCATCATCGTCGTCGTCTGGGATGGTAACAGAGCGGAGAGGAATACCAGGAGCTCAGTTTGTAGAGGACGTGCAGACCTATCTCACTCAGGCAGGCCTCGACGTTAACTCTGCCCTTGCCTTTCTCCAAGAAAGGTATGCCCGTTACTATTTACTTCTCAAACCTTTGAAGTGATTTAATTTAATCGCCGGGTTTTCGATTCATATGTTCTTAATTGATTTCACAAATTCAGAACTTTGCAAAAAATTAGGTAAAAAATGAATCTTTTGGTAACCCCACGTTAAGTTTTTGTTTTAAGGAAGCTTAATTAGATGATGAGTTAGTTTTGCACAGTGATAATGCTCTTCCAGAAGACATGAAGTTGAAATGGATGCTTGTTAATGTTTTTTTTTTATATTCCTTTTGTTGGCAAATATTGGTTGCAGACTTCAGCAATACAAATTGGTTGAAATGAAGCTTCAAGCTCAACAAAGGGATCTTCAGGTTTCTCAGCAAATCCCTTTCTTTGGATCATGCACATACTTTTCTTTATTATTGATAAATTAGAGTGGCTCCATGTCTTCTTTCAAACAGTACCCAACACCATTGCATCTGAAGTATTTTTTTCAGCCTATTTACAGCTTTCGGCTGATACTTATGAAGTTTGATGCTACTTGGCATAGTACCCATATTGGAGTTTGCATTTAAAGATTTTTTACTTATGGGATGGAATTTAGACTAGGACCCGTATTCATGCTAATTTGGCTCCTTTTCACCATTCTCTTTTAGGCTAAATACTAGATGTGAGAGCAAAATGGTTGTAATGATTCTGTCATCATATTCTCAGTACCTACCTATACATGTCATGGAATTGTTTCACTCATGATGGCACCTGTGACTTAAGTATCTGACAAATTGGATTGCCTCAACTGCATTTCATATCAATTTGTACTGTTTTTCCAACTTTTGGATGCCTATGGTTTAATTTTGGATTATGATTTTTCCTCATGTTGATTATCAGGCAAAGATCCCCGATATTGAGAAGTGCTTAGATGTTGTTGCTACTTTGCAAGCTAAGAAGGGTACTGGTGAGGTTCGTTTTTTGTGGTTTTCCACCCTTAGAAGTATGTTTAATTAGTAAGCACACTATACTTGGTCTATCTCTATTTGAATGACATGTTTAGCAGTATGATTTTCCCCTGCAATGTTCCCCATTTAAGATGTTTAAGCTCCTTCAGAACACTTGCAGTTTTACTCAATTCCTGACTTGAATTTTGCTCGTATACATGAGCAAATTTGAGGCAAAAAATAATTTACGGGCTCATGACTGATGCTTATTTTCTTCTCATATGGCTTATTTATCTTTCTCCCTTTCCCTTTTTTGGTTTTCATTGAGGATCTCCCTTGCAATATCTATTTCATGACTAAATGACTTAAATCCCTAAATCTTTTTGCCTTTATTCCCTCCAAATAGGTGTTCTTGTGGAACTAACTAATATCTGTGCTATGTAAGGAGAAACTTATAGGTCAATATTACATCTTTGAGGATCTGAGTTGTGTCCCTTATACAAAAGTGCTTTACAGAGAGTGGGTGTGCGTGTCTCTGCGTGTTTTGGGGGATGGTTTGCATGGGTGGGTTGTGGGGATGGGAGAGGAATGATGTTTCTGTACTATATGTATCCTGTAGTAAAATCAATATCTCAATATAGTAGGTTCTCTGGGTCTTCCTGAAATCGAAGATAATTAATTCTGAAATTACAGAATGTCTTTGTATTCTGCCTTGCGATTGGGACACTTGGTCATTCTAGCGGTTACAATATGAACAGTTGAAGCTGTAGTCACGAGTCATCAAACATGAAATTTGGGTTTCTAGTCCTTCCACATGTTAATGATGTCAATCGATCACAAAATGCAGCATACACATCAAATCCTGGAATATCAAACTTTTCAGCATTAAATTAATATTTTAACGTTTTTATGCTTCATTAGATATTGGTTCAATCAATGCAAGTGTTCTTAATTTGATAAATTTTTTTTGGCTCTGTATTCGGGTTACAGGCACTTATTACAGATTTTGAGGTATCTGAAGGGATATATTCGCGAGCTAGCATTGAGGATACTGATTCAGTGTGTTTATGGCTGGGAGCGAATGTCATGTTGGAGTATTCTTGTGAAGAGGTATGCCTCTTCTTATAATAGCTGTTATTACTTTTGAGTTAAGGACATGAGCATAATTTTTTGTGTAACATTTTGATGCAGGCCACTGGTCTTCTACGAAGAAATCTAGATAATGCTAAAGCCAGTTTAGAAGTTCTTCTTGCTGATCTGCAGTTCTTGAGGGATCAAGTGACAATAACCCAGGTAATGTCTTTTAATGAATCAGTTTCACATAATCTGGGTCTTCTATGCATAGAAGCGTGCTATATATCTTGTAATTGTTGATATTAAAGACTTTGAAATTTGAAGGGCTAATGTGTAAGGTCTGTAACAGCATGCCAGAGCTTGAAAGCATTCAATTTGTAACTTATTTGCTTTGTTCTCATTGGAAATGTGCATCTAACAATCCTAGTCTGTAATGTGCTTGTATTGTTTAGATGTGTCGATTTAGGAACCGTTATATGTTCTTATTAGTGGAAGTCCTTGACGCTTTGACTACTATTAATCAGGTAACTATTGCTCGGGTGTACAACTGGGATGTTCATCAGCGCAGACTTCGACAAGCTTCCCCTAAAGACTCATGAATTGAATTTTCACTACCACCCAGTTCGGAGTATGGTTCAATTCTGAATTCTCTCACGACTGAATTGATCGTCATCCTTTTGTTTGCAAGAATTGTATGTGCTCTCTTCAAATTCGTGCTTCCAGTTCCGTAGTCTGTTTTGTCGGAGAACATGTATTGTGGTAGAAAATGTTATATTATTAGAGGACCATTTTTGGTACGTCAATTATTTCAGCTTATCCTGTAACGTGTGGTCTGACTCCAATTTAGGTTGATGGGCGTGTTTTGCTGTGTAGTAGATTGGTATTGAATTTTCTTGTTTAAGGCTAAGTTTCATTTCCTTGTTGTCTAAATCACATCAGTTGTTTAAAATCACCGGTTGGCTGGCACCGGCACTAAGCAAAGCCTACTAACTTAAAGTGTGTTTTAAATTTGAATTTTTGGGATGGAGAAAAAAATGCTCATGGACCCACGGAAGCTTCGATGTGAAAGTAAATTGTCGGTAAATCTAAACCAAATGGGGTGACAAAGGTGTGGATTTGCCGGGTCTGTGGTGATGTCAGTGCCCATCTTATCCTTCCTCAAAAGGGTCGCAGATCTGGATGCTTTCTCAAGTCAGAAATGGCATGATGTTACACCTTAATGTGTGATCAAGTCAACTAATGCAATGATTTAATTTTTGAAGCAAAACCTAGGTGCTATGTTACCTTTAAACCAGGATAATTTATCCTACTGTTTGTATAATAATATAGAAAAAGTTTTCTTTTCGGCAAACATGGTTCAGTTAACTAGAATGGATGTGTTTTCTATTCTGCATCCGAGTTCGAATCTCTCTTCTCTTAATTTAGATTATATGAATAACGTTCATATAATATAGAAAAAAGTCATATTTTCAGGCAGTGCACATCCAATTGAATTTTCATGTTAATTGTTGACTATCCTTAGATTAAGTTGGTGGGTTTGCACTTAATGTTTAGTAGCTTGACAGAGAGTTGAATCACGAAATTGGCAGGCATTCAGGCAGAAGTCAGAGTGATGTTCTTATCGACCTTGGTTTGAGCATAATCAAGCATGTCAGTGAACGCCGAATGTGAAAAGCATTACCGATTTTTAAAACAAACCCTCTCCTTAAGTTAATATATTTAATAAATAAAACTGCTAATGGGAAGTCGGTAACGCGTAAGTAGGTCTCACTCACTCACATACATCAATCAATGTCTAGAAAATTGCTCATCATTCGCTCGCGAAGGACTAACTGAATCATAGCTCATTTGATACATGAGAGATCCAATTTTGAATTTTGTACAAAGAGTCGGCTGATAAGCCCACACAAATAGGCAGCGGGTTGGGTAGGAGATGGGGACGCCAATACTATCCTCTTTCTATACTCGTTTGGGATTTTTTCAAGTTCGAAGATTTCCGTACCCGATACCCGTTTGGCCTCAAATTCTCTTCCCGTTCGGGTCGGGGACCCGACGGGAACCCACCCTTGCAGGGATTTTTGCCATCCCTATCTGCCTATCTATCTCAGTTTTCTCTTCGTTTGCATACTGAGTTTTCTAATTATAAAAAAACAAAAAACTTTGTGTGGTCTTGTTGATTAGCTTAGCATAACAACCCAGAGGACCTACATAAATTCCAGCGGGCCACACAGTTAAGCTCCCGTGAACCACCATTACCACGCAAATTAAACATCTCCCAAGTTGGACCTTGAGGATAGTCCAAGTCAAGATTCCATGTCCATGGATGATGAACCAAGCTTTCTTTTTCTTCTTCTTATTTATTCTTTCATTTGTGGCAATGTAAGCATGAAAAGAACCAAGTTGGAAGCATTGGTTGATTTCATGGAGGGTCAGTTTTCACGCTTAGTTGACCTTGCAAAGTGAGGGACCCAAATTAAATAAATGGTCGTTACCATTGTTGATTTGAATAGTCCACCAACCAACCAACAACAAATCTCATTCTTTCTTCCTCCCGTTAATTCTAACATTCTCTTCCTGCTGCTTAATTATATGATTGTAAATTGTAATATAGGAAACTAATTAGGGTCCATTTGGACTTAAACACAGGATGATTCTTTGCTACTCTTGTGTGTGATGATGACTTATGAATGAGGAGGTTTTTTTTTTTTTTTTTTGGTCTGAATATGAATGAGGAGGTTTGACTCCAAAACAGGATGATTTTTTTCTTCTCTTTTTGGTGGTTGTGAATTTTTAAAGAGGGGGTTTTTTTTTTTTTTTTTTGGTCTGAATATGAATGAGGAGGTTTGACTCCATGAAAATCCGCATTCCGGTACGGGTTACTTTTTTCTTTCTCTTGCTCATTTGGGAAAACTAAAATCAAGTTGCAAAGTTAGACCGACGACCAAGCTCATTAGTGTAGAGACACTTGCCTAATAATCCCCACGGACATTACCCAATTTTTTTACTAGTTACTCATCATTTTCCTCAATAAAATGCTACCGTTTTTCTATCGTCTTAGCATCACTACACAGTGTGACATATATCCTTCATACCCTAGTTTTTGTATCTCTCTTCTTTTTTCTTTTATTTTGATGGCTAAGATCTTTCACACCCACCACATGTACAGTTTCCTTTCCAGTAACGTTTTGGCCTGTAACTGTTTGATTTATTTCTGGATTAAATTTAGTAATTGAGATTTGGTGAACGAGTGTAAAAACAAACAATAATTAATTAAGATTGAAGAAGAGCGGGAAAAAGAAAGAGGGGTTTTACGTGGCAAGGGGGAGGGAGGGGTAATAATAATATGCAATGCAATCATGGCTCGAAAAGGAGAAGAAAGGAATTACACACCTCATTTGAACAAGAGGCGTGCACGCAAACCGGGGCGGATTTGTCCTTATTGCCTTGTAATTAAAAGTTCCTTTGTCGTTTTGCTCTAGACGCGTTTTAGCATATACTTATATTTGAATAAACAAAATTGTTGACTTTGACCTCCCATGTGCGGCCAAGATCTTTTAAATACAAAAACCTAAAATGAGTCTAAAAATACGATATAAAATTAGGGGGATGTGATTAAAATATTTGCAAAGAGGGATTAGAGTAACTTCAAATTGCCGCAATCATCGTTGGGAGTGTTCGCCCTTTCAGACTGTCTAGAAGTATATAGATAGACAGTCAACGGCTTGGATTTGGCTCTTCCCACCCACACTATTAACCAATAATATTTTATCTTGCATTCTTTTTTTATCATCGGAATAGGTCGGAGTGAGAAACTAGGGTTTTTGTAAAAGCTTATTTGCGATCAATAGTTAAGTATTGTGTTTCTACTATTCATCAAAAGGAAAAATTTATCATTTTATATGAAAATTTGAAGGAGGGTTTTGTAAGCTCGTGTGTTAGGGTTTGGATAGTGTGTCTGTCTCTTTCCAGTTAAGTTTGAATCTATTTCTAAGGGGGAGGGGGTTTTAAAAAGTTATTTTTGAGAGCGATTCTCTCCCGGGTTTAGGTATAGGAATGACATGTATGTGTTTTGGTATGGGAATGACATTTTCTTTAAGGGCTTTAACTCTGGTTGATCATTGGTCCCGGAAAAAGCAGATGACTTTGTGGATGTCTACATCACCAGAATTTATGATATTGTTGGTCAAGGGTCGTTAGGTGGACTATCAAGACCTCTAGACAACAGTCGTCTTCTGGTGGTGTTGCGGGGGTTTGGAGGAGAGAGAGAGAGGGAGAGAGTTCTAAGAAGCTATTGACCTTGTGAAAGGATAAATTCAGGGTCTACAACTATATTTTAATTAGTCATAATGATTAATCTAATATATGTGTTTAATAAAAGAAAAATATTTCAAGATCCTACTTAACTAAGCAATATATATAATGAAGGAAGAATAAATGGTAGTTCACTGTATGATTAAAAACAATGGTTTTTCGTCAACAAGGGTTGGTTGAGTTGGTAAGGATCGTTCTTTTTGCTATTTAGGCTTGGATTTAAGTTCCGCTTCCGACAATCATTCTTAGTGGGTAATCTGTAAAAATCAAGAAATGGGCTAAGACCCCCTCTGTAAGTCCTTAAAGAGGAACCTTGGTATGCCCTGGTCATGGGATAGGATAGCCTCTCCTCGTCATAAACTTATAAAAAATAAAATAAAATAAAATAAAATAAACAATGGTTTTCTCAAGAATCTTATTAAGCTCCAAGTCTGGTTTGCTGCGTAATATTGGTGGTCGATGTCAACATTAATCTAGAAAACGAATCCAAGAATGCGACATCTAAACCAAAAAAATATGATTTGGGTTATGCCTAAATGATCGGCATTAGTCATAATAAAACATTTTATTTAAAGCACCACAATGATTTACTTTGATATATTTTTATTCTGTCAAATTGGGAATCAAAAGGGCATTAAGAAAATTGTAATTTAATTTCATGGACGTCGACAGACTAACCTAATTAATAACCTGATTCCAAAACTTGGATTTTGAAATACATATGTTCTGTGACTGACTGACTGTCACAGAAAAAACCAGAACCATTCATTTCCATATATATTCGAAAAAATATGTTATAATAATATATATATATATATATATATATATAAAGATATGAAGTTTAATAAAGTGGTCGGTGATAAGATATATGTTGGCCGTTTTGATAGAGCTGAAATGGGGCAGTTGGAAGTTATAATTTTAGACTTCGATAGACCGATGCTCCCTAGAGAAAAGCAAGACAGCCTCAGCCTCAGCCTCAGCCTCAGCCTCAGCCCTTTTTGTTTATTTATTTATAAATCTGGTTACTGAATCCTCCTCTTATTCAAACGGCCAACTGCATGCGATATCTGATGCCTCACAAGTAAAGTAGTTGAAGATAATGAAATTCATTATTTTTAATTTGGGCAAACAAAGCTTGTTTATTGTTGCTAATCACGTACATCCATCCTAATTAATAAGAGAATTTACACCTTCTGGAATTAAGAAAAGTCAAATATATCATACATTTGTATGATCAAATCGTAAAACGTTTTAAAGCTTTTTCACTCTTTTTTGTGAGGTAGGACAGTTTTCAACACACACACATACTTCTTATGAATACTATTTCGACACGCAAAAGTTCTTATGCATTTGTTATGAAAATTCTCCAACTACATACCTCTTTCCAATTAAAGAGCACTTGTATTTGAACCAGTTACATCATATAGCTCCTTTTTTTAAAGGAGCCAAGTCATGCTCTTTTTTTACGACAATATCTTTCATTCTCCTAATAAATTTGGTCAAGGAGGACCCAAAAAAAAAAAAAACCAATACATAGAGAGAGCATGACATAAAAGTGATGTAAAAGGCATCAAATATTTTTATGCCTGCGACCCA